ATCAACATAATTGGTAGAGCGAGCAATTAATAAGTTCAACCATTATTAGAAACAACAAACTTTATATTGGAATGTAGGATTTCTCGGCTAGCATCAAATTTTTTATTGGCTTCTGTGTTTTGCCATGGTCTTCTTTGGTTCAGTGGTGTGGTCAAAGTACTCTTCTTGACGTATCAACTGACGTATCAGTTGATACGTCGCGTCGGTCGAAAAATTTATAAAATGTGTTATTTGTGGAACAAAATTGGCCACAAAAAAACAATCTTGCAGATGTAGGAAAAGAAATTCGAAAACGACATATATTTTAGTTATTGAAAATCACATTTCAAATCTTATAGGAATTGAAAGTGGAATTGGAAAAATTAAATCAATTATCTTATCGGCACGGGAGCTGGAATCAGTGGCCTAGATTCAAAATGTTTATCAATAAATGCTCAAATCTCAAAAGTTCAAAATGTTGAAATGAAGTTAGCGGATGTTTTTTTTTCTACAGTAAAATATATGACGTTCTCAATGAATCAGTACCTCGAGTGAAAAATAAAAAAAGAAAGTTTTCTGTTTTCATACAGCTATATGTTGAGAAGAGACGAACATTGAAAAAACTAATTGATACGTGCTATAAGGAATACATAAAAATATAGAAAATGCCATTAATAACAATTCAAAACACGAAAAAGAAACAAAAAAACTAATAATTCTTCTCTCATACTCAAGCTACAGGGCTCCTGAGTGAAAGACAGTGAATCTGCAGATTCTTTTGGCAAATATTTTCAATTTGTATACAGTAATGACCAGGTGACTTACAGCATCAACTTTGCAGGTGATGTTGAAACCCGTCTCACAATCGATGAAATAACCGACAGCGATTACTTTGAAGCTTCGAAGAAACTTGAGCCAAAAAAATCTGCAGGAATTGATGTAGGATGTAGAGTATGGCTTCCATTCAAATGTTCTGTCCTGTCTTGTACCCGAAAACTAAGTAAGACTCTAATACAATTACTTAATGAATGGTATTGAATTATACAGGGTAGAGACTGTCAAAGATTTAGGTATATACTATAACTCCACACTCTCGTACACATCCCATTTGGATTACATAGCATATCAGGCACTAAGAATTATGGGATTTGTAATGAGACAAAGTGCACATTTCAATGATATTAAAGTAAAGTAAAAGATAAAATCTCTTTGGAAAGAGATGGTAATTCATTTATGAAATTCTAAAATCTCTGCCATGATACAGTAAATCAATTGGTTTCGTAAATGAAAGATTTTTATTTCCTGCCCCAGAAGCTATATAAAAGATATCCGCGGTACACATTTTGTGTCACATCCCAACCCTGATGGTTTAAACCTGTCAGCACGTCAGGAAGAATTGGAAAGCCATACAGATGAAATGTTGGGTAAAAAGACAATCACAGCACGTTGGATCAAACAAGGGAATGTGACAGCCAAGATGACGGAGCATGATGAAAAATCTCGGGCATCACATTCGGCGTTCAATTTCTCTGTGACAGGACATGAACGTGTGTCTCCGAGATTCAATTGTTATTCTGTACATGATGTGATGGATATACCCGAAGTTAAATAGTGGAATGGGAGATATACAAATAATGTATTTTTTACTGTATACGGTAAATTGCTAGGTGTTGAAGATGAGACACAACTCAACGATAGTAAGTAAATATTATTTGAATTAATTGATGATGTAGCTTTTAACCGATGGATGCAGATTTTACTACGTGGTAGGAGATCATCAAGAAAAATGAGAAATGAAACTACTATATAGTTTATTGTGATTTCTCATTATATTATTCAAAGTATGAATGTTCCCGTATCAAACATATATGAATTATACCCAGTACTGAGTGAAACTCAGATTGATAATTCTATGTAACTCTTTAGTCAAGAACCCTTCGTGATCATGGTGAAATCAGCATAATATGCTGATATGATGATTATTATTGAATGAAAGGTAATATTGTAACCTCTGTACTTGTTTATGGACAATTGTTTCACAATTTCAACATTTTTCATAAAGTCGATGATTTCCGATTATTGAAAATTGAATTCCTTGCATCATTCCTCGAACCAGGCTGAAGCAGACAACAAACAACGGGTTTGTCATCGCCCCATCTGCCTGTGAACAAGGTAACCAACGCATATCCGAAATTTGCGCAATTCCTCGTATAAGGAACGAAAACTTTTCACATATAGTCAGTGGGCATACTTGAAGACTGGCTATAAATCAAATTATCTAAGAACAATCCGTTCAGGCCAGTCTCAACTCCCTATAGAGTGAGAGGTGTCAGTCCATTAACCTACTGTGTAGGGAGTTGAGACTGGCGTGAACGAATTGTTCCTAGATAATTTGATTTATAGCCAGTCTTCAAGTATGCCCACTGACTATATGTGAAACTTTCGATTGAGTCATAATTTCATTTGATGAATAGAGAATAAATTTCTCTACTCGATAATAAAACAACAATAATTGAAAAGTTATGTACTCATTTCTAATAGAATTACACTCGTGAACATAAAAAGCATCTGTAACTGAGATTATTTTCTTCTCGGCATCATAGTTTCCAAACTCAAATCAGGAACCAATTCTGAAAAAAATGAGTTACTTTCTTGAACACATATTTTGATTCCAATTTCATATGGAAACGCATTTTTTGTGACTTTCTGATTTTCTAGTACTATAAATCTTCAGAGAATTGAAAGTTAATAACTTGTGAGGTCCTGAAATACTGTTTCAGAGAAAGAAACAAAGAATTATTGGCTTTTATTTTTGATTAACACTGTCTGATACAATATGCATATTGGTTTCATGAATTTTATGGAGAGGAAAATTCATTTTGTTACTCACCACAGGATCTGCGACGTACATGCAAGAATTGAAATTTGAAGCTTTTTGACATAGATTTCCACCATCTGAAAAATATTTGTTCATGTAAGAGATATGATGAGCGGGAGAGAAAAATTTTATGGAGTTCTTCATATGATTTCGCATAGATCGGAGAAGCTCCAACGAGAAAACTATTCGTAATTGGGGGACGAAATTTCTCTGAATCTAGTGAATGGAATGTGAAGTGTTTTGAATTATATAAGTAGGTCTTGATCGCTATATACATGAATAATATGATCATAATGTGGATTTGAAAAAATAATATTCGATTGGAAAGTCTGAGAGGCGTATAATATCGAAACAAAGACAGGCCGAAGTATGGCTTCCTTTTTCTCTCTTTATACAAAAATATGAGAAACTTTCAAATAGAGAAAGACATCAATCAATTTCTAAATAAACTCTCCACGAAGATGTGTACGTCATACAAAGAAGTTAAGCGAATGAATGTCATCGTGATGAGTGGATTCAAATCATTCGTGACATGTAGTGTTGAAGTTGTGAATTAATTGAGCACTCCATTCTGTGATGTTATCCAAATTGCTGCTGAAGAGGTAATAAGGCAAGTGTTTCATTCCGGAATATCGATTTTCCCCATTGAGGATGACAGTGTTCCATGTAGGCGAATTTTTTTCTTTTTCATATACTATATTGTGTAGCAATCCTGCGAATGTCTCAATTCCATGAAGATTAGAGCATAAACTGAACGGGAAAATTTGTTTCTTCTATGTAGGAGTAGTGGTTTCAAAAATATTTTTCCTTTCGTGTAGTTTAATGTTTGCATGAAAGTTACCACTTGAAGAGTGCTCTTTCTTTCCTTTCTTGGGAAGTTTCCCACATTTTTTGTATAGTTTCGAACATCAATTTTCAATAATCACCATTGAATCCAAATCAGCCAGTTATTTCTTGATGGTGACGATAATGTATAGTTACAAATGAATATTTGATGTAACAAACTAATAATATTTCAATTTTGATCTGTTCTCGTCAGAGATTGTATAATTACAATAAGAAAATTCAACAGTAAGCTTTGTTAACATCACAACTATACAATTTTATATAAATTGGTGGATGTAACCGTTACTACGTGGTAGGAGATCATAATGAAGAAAAGAGAATTGTGTTTTTTTACCACTTTTATTCGTAACTAACGTTAGTACAGTTTCGTCCTATAAGGACATTTTCAAACTTATACATTACGAAATTTATAAGATTGAAAATGTCCTTATAGGACGAAACTGCAGTAAAGTTAGTTACAAATAATAGTGGTAAAAACATAGAGAGTTTCAATTCTCTTTTCTATACATTTTATACGTCTCATATATCACCGTTGATAAGTTGAAAGGATATGTAAACGTCATCAATTCATGCATTTGATGTGAGTTCACAAACTAGTGAAAACGAAACGATGGAGCTACTTACTGCTTCGAACAACGTAACCTTCCAATGGAGAATTGATTTTATTTTTAGAATTCACTATTGGTGAAATACTCCATATTTCATGAAATTAGTCGCTACTTTGGTAATTTATAAGGTATACTATGAGAAATTTCCGACGACTCACGTTTGTTCACATATAAATGAGAACCTACTCTATTAAAATGCAAACGTGAACTGTGAATTTTAAGTAGTATTAGTTTGAAAATTTCCTCATAGGACGAAACTGCAGTAACGTTAGTTACAAATATAAGTGGTAGAAAAATGGCGAACTGTTTTGTCTTCAATTTTCACTTGTGAAAGAAATGTGAAAAACTGGAATACCTCCTCGTCTTATCTTGTCTCGATTCTCATAACGATAGAACATCCGTGGTACCCAGAATTTTCAATAACCGGTAAGCTTAGCGTGTTTTCAAAAATATACTGAGTTTGCCAGATAAAATTGGAACCTCTTTTCCTCATCAGGAGATGACTTGAACCGTCATCTCCTAATGAGCTAACTTATTTACCGAAACGCTCGGCAAGAAAGAGTATTTCTATTCTGGCGAGATAGAAGTGTTTTCAATTGATATACCAAATTGACATTAATAATTTGTTGGATTTATGTGTCCCATAATACTCTTCATGTTATCAAGAATAAGTCTCCTTGACAAACTATTGAGTCATTAGTATTTGACAATTCCAAATGATTTTGCACTTGAAATGCACTTGAAAATGCATAGTCAATGTCAATAGTCACCATTTTGAAGAGCTTAATTTGGTATTTCTAAAAATACAGTACCCAAACGTTGCATCAAAATCGTTTAATTGACAGTGATGTCGGTTGTTTATTGATTATAAATAACTCTTAATCACTTAATTCTGGTATTGGTGATATGTTTCATTTTATATTTTATTTTTCCGTGAAAAGCTTTTTCTCCATGGGTATATACCTAGCGGTTCGAGAGAGTTTTATAATGAAAACAGACAGAACAATCTCCTAAAACGAATATGATTTTATTGGCCGTATTAATGGGGATTCAGTATTTTTGCAGAAAAAACGTTTTGTTATTTCATGAAAATTTTATAAAAAACCTAAAATATTTTGGTGCTTTTGATCTTGGATGAACCTACTTGCCAATGTGAATTATTTTGTAAGATTATTTTCTCACTAAAGTAATTAATAATTTGTTGGATTTATGTGTCCCATGATACTCTTCATGTTATCAAGATTAAGTCTCCTGGATAAACTAATGAGTCATTAGTATTTGACAATTCCAAATGATTTTGCACTTGAAATGCACTTGAAAATGCATAGTCAATGTCAATAGTCACCATTTTGAAGAGCTATAAAAAGTTATGACGGAGACTTGATATCTTTCGAAGCCCTCAACGCATTTTTAATATTGGTGAGGAATGTTACCACCTAAGGTTTCACAAATCACAACAGGTAAAGGTGTCAATTCGCAAGGGCACCCTAAAAATGTGTGAATAATTGGTTATGGAAATGATATATAGGACAAATTATTTCAGCTATGATAGAGTTCAAAGAAGAAAGAAAAATAATTCATGGAACGATAATCTACTTGTTGGGACACTTATTGAAATGTAAAGCCAAGCCATTTTTCCCAACATTTCAGTAGGAAAACTACTGTTCATTTTTGACGAAGCATCAACCATTTGGATGCAGGTATATCGATATAGGTGAATATTTTGAAATTACGCTTTCCAAAGTGTGGTAAAAATCAACTGAAGCATCAAATACTATTTCAGGTTTTGGCATCGTGAAATTTATCCGTTTGATCCGTGTATAATTGAATGGAGTAGATTGAGCAGAATTCTCTATTGGGAGCTTCTCTCCTCTTCAGTTTTCATCATACTTCTATTACCAAGATATAACTGAAAATATCAAGTGGGCCCTCTTTAGTGCAGTAATTCAAAATGTGTTGTGTATTCAATTGACATCATGTATTCCTTCGGTTTGTCTTTGGAAATTATTTCCTGTATATCAGATGTGATGCATCAGAGACGTAATCGTTTCGCAAAAATAAATTTCAAGGAGGATATACCCAACTCACCTTCAATATTCCTGCATTTGTTCAGAGCTGCCACTAAAAGATCTTTTATCTCTGGATGCGCTGACTCAATAATAAATTCGTATTGGATTTCCCCCGCAGAATTCATCTGTGACAAAATAAAATTAACAAATTCATTCTCGATTATTGTTTTCACAGGTGTTTCATTTCTCAAATATTGATTATTTCAACTTGAAGGTTCCAGTGATTTAGTAGTGAAGTGAGTGAGTAGCTACCTTTCAGTTCTACATAAGCGACAAATACTTGCTACTTGTTAGACAAAACTATAAATTATTTCGAAAAAAAGCAAAACATTCATCTTTTTTGGTATTTCTTCAAAGTAGAAATAGTCGAGCTCCTCTCGGAAAACAACTACATACATAGCTCATAAAAATAGAATTTGGATATAATTCAATGTCCAAAACCTTGTGAACTCTGTCACTTGCTGTTGTTTTGGAAAACACTATAAGCAATTTTTTTTTTATTTATTTCACCAATAAATGCAAATCAACTCACCCACTTTGCTTCCAACATCAGGCATTTCATGTAACACTGAAAAAATATAAATCGTGAACAATTTTTATTCCATTATCAATTTTCTATGTACACACATTTTGCCAGCTTTCGTATTCAATAAACTACATTTACCAAATATTAAGCAACAATCGTGAGGACATTTTTTTAATCGATGTTCTGGCTCCACACTTCTTCATCTTCGAACAAAAAATGTGGTGGATTTCAATATGAACTAAATGAAAAAATGTGAAGATCATGCACATATGTTTCTGTAGATACAAACTGTCATGGGAAGTCACAAACTGTAACTGCGTGTTTGAAAGACTATTTTTACTGAAGGCATTCGTTTTTATTTTTGATGAAGTGAAATAACTGAATGGAAAGAGAAATGAAAATTTCTATGTTTTTTACTATGTTTTCTATGTTTTCATCATGATCTCCTACCACGTAGTAACGGCTACATCCATCAATTTATTGAAATAACCAAAGTTCCAGAGAAAGATAAAAGCTGAATTAAATAGCATGAAATGTATAGAATTGGGTATTGACTCATTTGTAGGTGAATGAATAATCAATAAAAAATAACATTTCACTAAAAGACTACTGCTGCGATGTCACGGAAGGCTACAATTATCGATAACAACTTTCTACAATGTGTAGTTAGTGATCATCAGTCCAAATAACCATTTATTTTGAAAAGATACAATGATCATCTTTCTCATACTTCTGTCTGACCGAGTTTTCTGATGTGGTGCAACTAGCCTGAAAGTTTGAATGTGGAAAGGACAACAATAATCAGAATAACAATATCAACAGAGTATTTCTGGTAAAGTTCTCAGAGTTTAACAAAAAATCCCGATATTCAATCCATTTTCTCCTATCATTTTGAACTTTATCCGTACCACTTGGAGCTTACTTTCGGACGAATATTGTGGTACTTAGGTACTTCGATAGATAAGAGTGATTACATCAATCAAGCTTGTTAGCTTATGTCAGGCTGGGAGTGAAGAATGAATTGTTTCAAGAAATTCGGCACTTTCCATTCCTCACAAATGATTGGATATCCCCGGGGAGAACCTAGTATTGCTGAGACAATATATGGTGGGCACCCCGACAGCAAATACATACGATTCTCAGATATATCGCTGAAGACTCGTGTTTGAGACAACATTCTGACGGCTCGTAATAAATCCTTTGGTATTGCATTGACTTCAACTGAAAAAACACTTTCTGGAAGATTATAAACCAAGTACGATGCTATCGCCACTTCTCATATGAAATACTACATCTATCAGGTATACGTGGATCAACTCGAAAACGAGATTGAAAATGAATCGGTTTCTTTACAATTTACTGATTATACAGTGCACTAATATTCTGGAAAGACAAAAACTATCAACAAGAATAAAGTCATCTTACCGACAAACACATAATCGATTTTTTCTAGAATGGAAAGTCATGATTTTCGTGAAGTTTAATGTTGATTCCTTTATTTTTTTCTAGCTATTTCCATAAGCAATACTGGTCAAAATTTTCTTTCGTCCTTTGATTCATCCCGGAACTGACCACTTTTCATTCGGTTTCACAGTCGAGCGGGATTTTTCACTTCACACAAAACTCAAACTTTCATTTGTTTTCAACTCACTCATTCTTGTGAAAGAAAGTGTTAAAACAATGTGTCAACATAAATAATGAAATCGATTCAAGCAAAAGTAGAATAATAGTGAAAAAACATATTTGTTGAACTTTTTCGTTGTTGCTGGTAATTTTCAAAAACAAACAAATCATTATGATATAATATGAAAGTCCTTTCGATTTCCGTAGATGATAAGATATATAGATTTGAAATTGAAACAGATATAACTCACTTGAAGCTTTTGATCATGAGGATTGTTCTCCACATCATAAGCCAGATAGTCATCTGAAACAGAATCAGAAATGATTTTACTGGTTTTTATTAGATTTTATAATATAATGTGATATATATCATTCATTGCCTTTTTAATCACTGAGAAAATTCAGTACCTTTTTTCACAGAAATGAATTGGAATAGTGACATAAACTGAACTAAAACAACCCATCAATCGAAAAAAAAATTTAAAAAATTCACAATATTATTCATGAATTCATGTTTTCTCATTAACAAATTCTTGGAATCAGAATACACAAAAAGTGGAAGTTTATTGTATAAATTTGAAAATGTCCGTATAGGACGAAACTGCAGTAACGTTAGTTACAAATAAAAGTGGTGAAAAACAAAGAAATTTTCATTTCTCTTTTCATTATGAAAGTTTTGTATTTCACTCAATCATGCGCCCTCTATATTCTCCAGCAAACTATATATTATGATATATCATGTATAATTATTCTTACCTTCCGATATGCCACTTTGAGAAATACATATTTTATGTAAGTCATCCACATATTCTTGTAGCTCCGATGGTAGTTTTATCTGCAAAATCAAATGATGTTTCATCAGAAGTGAATTTTAGCCAGAAATGATTCAAACAATATTGAAAATGAAAGGAATTGGTATTTTCTTCTTCAAACTGATCACCCAGAAATCTTTTTATTATTTTATTTATTAGATTTTCATTCCTCATCTCCCTTTACAAAGACACCACGAATATCACAGACATTCACTGCATTGATGAAGGATGATGGGCAAATGATGGATTCAATTCGTGGATTGACTTATCTGTTGATTCCCTAGATGGCGTATTTTTTAAGGACGAGGGTCATCGCCTATACTCACTCAGGCTTGTCCTTTGAGTACAGTTGAATTCAAAATGCATCAGGTGGGAAGGGCTTTTGGAATCCTTCGAACCTGGGAGTGACGACGAGCTTTGGCGAGTCACTCGTAGGCTCAGGGGGAAGAAGACTGCTCTCTCACCCATTCACGGAGAGCGCGGAGTGTGCTACTCCCCCGCCGACAAGGCGTTAGCCTTTGCAGACACGATGGAACGTCAGTTTCAACTTAACGTTGACGACGATGACGACATCGATCCCGATATGCTGCTGGAAGACCGGGTTCACCGACTCCTCAGGGAAGATGATGACGACTACATCCGTCCGGCTTCTATGGAAGAGCTGAAGGGTCATATCAAGGCTGCAAAAGCCAAGAAAGCTCCGGGAGCAGACTCAATAACCAACAAGTTGTTGAAGAGACTCCCGGAAAACTGCGTCGAATTTCTTCCAAATCTAATTAACAGTTCGTTGGCCTTCAGACACTTCCCTAGAAGGTGGAAGCATGCGATTGTCGTCATGCTCCCAAAACAGGGTCAGAACCAACTGTTTCCGCAGAACTAATCGCCCGATCAATCTACTCTCGTCGGCGGCTAAGCTGGCTGAAAGAGTTGTACTGCAAAGACTCAACGAAGAAGTTGAGGACCGAAATGTTCTGCCTAACGAACAATTCGGCTTCAGAAGAGATCACTCCACTGAGTTACAGGCTCTAAGGTTGGTCGAAAACACCATCAGCGAGCTAAACACTAACAAAAAAGTGCATATTGTGCTGTTAGACATTTCGAAGGTCTTCGACCGAGTATGGCACGAAGGCCTTCTGCACAAGCTAAACGCGTTCGACCTACCTCGGGGCCTGATCCGGTGGATCGGGTCTTTCCTGAAAGACAGAACTTTTCAGGTCAGAGTAGAGGTCTCTCTGTCTGACAGCAGAGAGATCCTCGCTGGAATGCCACAGGGGGCCGTGCTCTCTCCGACGCTGTATTCACTCTATACCAGCGACCTGCCTAGGTCCGAACGAGTGAAGATATCCCTGTACGCCGATGACACGGCTCTTCTCTCATCTTCCATGGGTCGAGAGCTCGGCGTCGTCTACATGCAACGTGCATTGGACGACCTCGAGCGCTGGTACCTCGATTGGAAGATCCGAGTAAACCCGGAAAAGACTCAGGCGATAACCATGGGAAGATTACTATCTTCTCCGGCCAGAAAAGTGAGAATCTCTGGAAAGGAGATTGACTGGCAAGCGCGGGTAAAGTACCTCGGCCTTTTGATAGACCGTAGGCTCACTTGGAACCCGCACATTATGTTCGTCAAATCTGAGATCGAGGGTCGGATAGCCAGTCTGTACCCTCTGATCAACAGAAAATCAAAGATGAGTAAGAAAAACAAAATCACGATCTATAACACGATGTTCAAGCCTGTCATCATGTACGCTTCAGGCGTCTTGGGACAAGCGGCTCCGTCCAACATTTCCATTTTGGAAAGGTTGCAAAATAAGTTAATTAGGATGATTGTGAACGCTCCTTGGTTCGTGCGGAATGAAGCCATCCGCAGAGATTTGCAGCTGCCTTTCATTCGGCAGTCCATTCAGTCGAGGAATGAGAGAGTTTTCGAAAAAACGGAAACTAATGAAAACCCGTTAGTTAGGGAAGCCACAGATTATGCTGTAGACGACCCCTCCCGATATAGAAGGCCCCGACACTCTGTCGAATGAGGCCCTCATGTCCCCCGTTAACGGATGAATAACTTTTTCATCCATCCCACCCTAGCCAGGTAGGGGTATCCCGTGAAGGGCGGCACTGATGTCTAAGGACTTCATGCCGTCACCAATCAGTCATGAACCCATTGGTCCCTCTCAAGACCAACAATCAGCCAAAAGGGTAGGGGAGCTGGTCTCCAAACCTGGATGAAATGACGATGACATTCTATGCATCAGCCTAGCACTTATAGAGGATAGAAACCTGGTATTAGATACCGAATGCTATACCTTTGTGCTGTCTTTTTATGGAGCTTCATGAATCGACGTATTTTTGAAATACTAACCTGAATTGTTTATATCAAATCGAGCATACTTCAAACGAAATTGAATTGACTGAACTAATAAATGACTATTAAAGATGTAATTGGAATTCAACAAACAATCTGTTCGCTTCTACTCTACATTGGGTATAATTTAGTATATGATATACAATAACTTAAGGCTGGACTGCTGAGAGTGCGGTTGATTTATTGTTCATTTTTCAGTTTCAGATGGTTTCTCAAACAGAAATTGAATTATCTATTGAAATTTGAAAACATAAAATTCACCTACATAACAACATTACTAGAAAACATTGAAAATCAAGTAGAAATTGAATTTATTATTATTATTTTCATAACTTCCATTAGGGTGAAATAAGATGAATATCGATTTACAGAAAAATATTGATCAGAACCGATTTTCATGAAAGTATTTTTGATGAAAATGGAATAATACCTTTCAAAAATACATATTTTTTTATCGATTCATCTACTTTTCACTTCCGTATCAATTTACAACTCAATATGTAATGAAACATATTTGTACAATATTTCATTATCTATTATGAAAAGAAGATTTTGTCTCTCTACTTCTCCATCAAAATACAAAATAGTGGAAATCTTGCAAAGAAAGGAACATAGCAATTGGTTTCTGAATAAACTCTTTACGAAGATGTGTATATCATGCAAAGAAGTAACTTTCAGACACAAACTGAAATGATAAGCCATCTCGGAACAACTACTTCCATATAAACATTGAATTACACGATAGAAAAAATATTTTCTGAACAACTACTTTCATATGAACATTGAATTATACAAAGTTTCTTATTCGAAGACCCAGGTATTCAAAGCAGTTCATATTCATCACTTTTTGAATATTATCAATCGTAATTTATTTCGTATTTTTTCCAAAATATTTTCGAATTGATCTTGATTATAATCATAAAATATATTCATCGTGAAATTATAGAAATAAATCTGATGAAGTTTCCTATTCAAACTCAATTTAAAATACATATTCACGGAATATTCTGGAAACATATATATATATACAGTGCAGAGGTAAATGGTTCCTTCCAAATAATCTCAAATAAAAAGTATACCAATTCTCTATACAATAACCTTCACTTTTTTGAATTTTGAAACAAATTAGTAACATATTTTGCAATAGATGAGTATTAAATGACAACATGCCATTTGTTTTCAGTATTTTCCTCAACGTTTCTCCATCACCTTCAGCAAGACATGCATAGTACTCGGTGAATGACTATTTTAATTGATTATTTGGAATATTCACGAAAACAATTTAAGGTTCATATCACGAACACTGCAAAATTTTGCACAGCACATTCCTCATCGTTCCTCATCGAAAGATATGAAACTGTCAGAGTCCTTCTTTCGAAGTTATGAAAAAAATAGGAACATTTCAAAATTGAAATTTCCAGAAAGTATTATGTACGGTCAAAGTGGCTTCTGATAATATTTTTACCCCGTGAAAATGGGATCTTTGGTTTTAAAGAGAGACTTCAATCACCAGTGGATAGGTTCTATTAATTCTTACTGTAAAATGAGCCTTTTTCCTGAAAAATCCTAAATGAATTCAATTTCATACATATTTACACGTGTTCATGAATTTCTTATGTCTCAATTCTGAAAATCATTTTTCAAATCACTCTACTTTCATGTACTTTTAATTTCATCTGTATCAACTACCGAAAAAAGTGCATAATAGAAAAACATATAAATCAGGTTGCATATCAAAGGTGCACTTATGTAAAAATTAAACACGCAAATTATATTTAATAAACTTCATTTTCGAAGTCATTTCGAAAGAACTTAAGACGATTATTCGAACTTTTACTGTGGGTGAAGATCACTGATATATTACTAGTAATATAATAATAGTAATAGTAGTAGTAATAATATTAAATATATAATAATAATAATTTGGAATATTGCTATCGTTAAAATTATCTTGAAAACTTTTCATCTCACTTATTATGACCATGATCTTCATCATCATCGTTATTCAAGTGAAAATATTTTAACTCACAGCATAACCCAAAGCAGCACAAACCATAATGAAGGAAAAGCTTTTGTAAAACATTTTTGAGCACTGATGTAACATGAGTCTACTCTTCTTTGAATATCGTCAAGAACAAGATGCCGTAATATAGTGATGCATTGGCATATTTAATAATATGCTACATACAACCAACCTATTCATTAGCGAAAGATAATGCACATTCATCAATCAATTCAATCATGTAATTCAAAAGCAATAATGATAAAAATTCCAACTGCTTTGATTGACAGTTTGACATTTTTTATTAATGGGAATGGTGAAATGAGATGTCATGAATTAAATTCAATCAACGAAGAAAGGTGGATTTTTTTCCATCTGGGATTATAGATTACGCATGAGTAAGTCTGTTGTTTTGAATGACATCAATAAACGATGTTATTTGCATTGGGATTACTTTATGAAATAGCTTTTCCATTGACAAATTAGTCTTGAAAAACTGATGTGAACACGAACGAGTTCACTTTATTTAATTTCCTACATTTTGTAGGTAATTTCTTCAGTTAACTAATGCGTATAAGAGATGAAAATCCTGCCAATTTTTTGTATGCACTGAAAGCAACTGTAGCATAAATAACGCAGGAGATTTATACATGCAGGGGCCTCTCCATGTTACACTGAACTTTCGTTTTAGAAATTTATTAGAATTTTTTATTAATGAATTCATTTCAAGGTTAGGGATGCAAAACCCTATTGGAACTCTCAACTAAACCGTATTCATTGTTTTATTGTTATTCTTGAAGTGTCTCCTATCCCTAGGTACAGGTAAAGAAGATACGTTTTTCAGCACTCATAATTGATTTTTTTCTTTAAAAAATCAANTACTGAGTTGAACCTCAAAACGATGAGCAGCCACAGTCCATCGCGTATTTCTGATATGTACCATTCTTGGACGAATCGAATGTGAAAAGTCACTTGAACACTTCCCGTGAAAGTATCTATAGGAGAGAGACAAATATCCAATTTTTTTCGATGTTCCAGACTATGGATGGAATCCAGCCGCTTCAGGGTATTTTTGGGGGCAAAGCCGCATACATGAGAACAATACTTCAACCTTTCTTTGATGTTCCAGAATATGGATCGAATCGAGCAGCTTCAGGGTATGTTTGGGGGCAGAGCCGCATACATGAGAGCAATAGTCCAAAGAAGATCTGATCTGAGCTTTATAAAACATCGGAAGTTGCTGAGGTGTATACAGTTTTTTGTTTCGGAACAATGTTACAAGCTTTTAAGAAACACAACTTGCAATTTCAGCGGCATGATTGTGTCAGGACATATTGGTGTCCATTTTAACCCCCAACAAACTCACCGAAGCAGAAAACGGAATTGCCTGACCTGACATTATTATATCCGGTTCGGAGACATTCATCTTTTTGGAGAAAACCGATGCCTGAGTTTTTGTGGCATTGAATTGAACCTGGCTACTTTCACCCCAATTCTAAATTATTTCTACATCCTCATTAAGATATGCAACCTCCTGCTGCCGGTGAAGATGTGCCTCCGTAGCCGATGGAATCAAAATGAAATGATGAGACAAGTGTGCTGTCATCAACAAACAGTATATCGGATTAATTCTACGTTTTTTCCAATGAGTCGTTGATATACAATAAAAATAGGGTTGTATCCCTGGGGAACACCAGCGTTGATAGTGCAAGTATTTGAAAGATATCCATCGACGGACACTTGCAGGAACGTTCTTTCAGGAAGCTGAAGAGTCATATATATACTTAAGCAGCCACAGTCTGTAGCTTATTTCTGATATGTACCGCTGTGTGGAATCGAATGTGCCAAGTCACTTGAACACTTTCCGTGAAAGTATCCATAGAAGAGAGACAAATATACAACCTTTCTTCGATATTCCAGACTATGGATAGAATCCAACAGCTCCAGGGTATGTTTGGAACAGAGCCGCATACATGAGAACAATACTCCAGAGAAGGTCTGATCTGAGCTTTATGAAGCATCAAAATTTGCTGAGGTGTGCACAGTTTTCTGGTTCGGAACAGTGTTACATGTCGTTGATATACAATAAAAAGAGGGTTGGAGAAAATATGGATCCCTGCCGATATTGAATGGATAACATTATTCGTATCGCATGATCTTGACCAAGCAAATAGCGTATTTTATCAAATCATCCGAAATGCATTCAGTTGTCCTGTCTCAAACAAGAAGGTGAGGCAGTCATGTTTCCCACAGTGGTTTCCATCAATCTATTCTGGAAGAAAAAGGAAGCTCAAGCTAAATACAAACTTAGCAGAAATACTATCAACTAATCATTTTTTTCTGGCTGAAGACAAAACTGCAAATTCATAACTGAACATTGTTACACTCTATTCTGGATTCATGTAGAGAATGCCATTCATGATGACCCTAGCTACATCTTGAATTTCTTTAGACAAAAAAGGATGATTCTTGAAAGACAGAATCGATAAGTCTGAGCTATCTATTGCTAATTTTTTTCCGATCATTTTGCCAACCCTTATAATTACACACTATCAGATCTTTGAACCATTTGTCACTCATTGGTGAGTGACAAATGGTGGTGGTGAAGTAGATAACAACAGATAACGTGCTCATCAATTCAACTCTTATTCAACTCATTGTTGAGTACAGAGCAATTTACTGAAATTTTGGAAAATCAGCTATGTGGTACAAATCCTTAAAACGGGTGCAAAAGGAAGCATTCACAATTATAGGCCAATAAATATGTTCTCAGTGATCCTTAACCATTTGGAAATGAAATGTTACTCACACCCATACTCAGTTGGCTTTGTAAGGATCTACTATGAAAATGGAATGATCTAAAGTATCGAATCAGGACTACAAATTGATGCAATTTATTCCGATTTCAGTGAAGCGTTTGATCGTGTTAACCATAATCTATTAGTACAGAAGTTGGTGTTGTGTGGTGTTCCCCGTTTATTATTCACTGAATAAGCGATTATCTCAAGAACAGATCACAGGTAGTCAAAATTAAAATCTGTGAATCAGAACTAGCTACTTTCATATAAACATTGAATTACACGAAAGAAAAAAAATTCTTTCGAAACAAATACTTCTATATGAACACTGAATTATACAGAAGATACTTTTCTCTATTCAGTTTGTATATCAAACATTTGTTGAGGAATAAGAATCAGATATCATTTACATGATATGTATCACTCCTGAAAATATAACCCTTTCAATTCAAATATTAATAGAATCTTCATGAATAATGTTCTTAATGATGTCAATCTGAATCGACTCAATAAAACAACGGATTTGGGTATAATCTTTGATGCGAACCCTAAATTCACCACCCACATCAATATCACCCTCAATAAAGCTCTTGAACTTGTTGCTTTAGTTTTCCGAAATTGTAAGAATCTAACAGTGGATGCCACCAGAATTGTTCACATAGCCTGTATGAGTTTAGGTCACCAGTCAGGCTTGCACATTATGAAGTACAAATAAATTACATTGAAGCAGTGTAAAATAGATTCCTCAAGCTTGTTGCCTTCAAATCTAACCTCACAGTTAAAGAATGTGGGTATTCTGATATACTTCATATTGCGGATCCTGACACTCTTTCTTTCCTTAGAACAAACATCGATGTCAGAAATATATCATTCGTTATAAGTTCGTTCAACTAGGAACAATGATATTTCCACTGTCCCTGATCACCATACTTACTATGGATACTTCTCACCAACGTCAAGTATTATGAGGATGCCAACCGTCTCAATTGTGACATTATTGGAATTTCACTGAATATTTTTGAAAAATAGTGTAGCAACAGAATTCAATACTTGACCACCGGGGATGTCAATTTCAAGTAATTTTTGTGTAAAATCCAAGTACTTATATTTATATGCCTAAATTCATACAATCATTTGGGTCGAGTTAGTTTTGAGGTATTTGTATACTTTTTCCGTCATGAGGATTTTGTTCTCCAACAGTAGAAGAGTAAATCTTCATAGACTCTGTGCCAGATCCCTAACGATTGAAACCCCTCTCCTGTTGCTCAGAAGTACGTACCGTAACCAAGTACATATTGTCACCCTACGTATACCCTTGGTAGTATTCGTCTGAGATACTAGAAATGCATTCAATAAATATACGATGCTCACAAAAACATATAATTGAATATCACAGTTCTATTATATGCTTTTTGTAGCTATCACAGTTGTCCATCAATGTGTGCTCTGATTTGTTTCAGGCTTCCACGAGCTTACTGCCCTAGTTTCTCATCATCTCCTTTCTCTTTTTCTCTCTCGCTCTCTCGATGGTTGCTCTTAATGTTTTGTAGGTCTTTTCACCATATATGAGGCATTCTATTATATTTTCGTTATTGAATATGGTATTTGTTTCACGTGTATCCAAAAGTCTTGCATTTTTCCATTCCATACAAATAGAGAGAATGTGTTCTATATCATCGTCTGCATTGCAGTGCATATAATCTGGAGATCATATAAATACGGAAACAGCAATGCCTCGATAGTGCCTGGCCGAAGGTTCGATTCAACCAATTATCTATTGCGGGTAATAGTCGATGTATCCATCTATCGTCTTGACTGTAGTACCATTTTCATTGCCAACTATTCATCAGATTTTTCGTAGCAATTCCCTTGGAAATGGCTACATAACGCTCTTTTCTCTCGATGATTTAGAACTCCAATTGTGGCATTTCTAACGAAAATAACAAGTCGTAAAGAATATTATATAAAATAGGTTAAGCAATGGAGCCCTGAGGTATGCTGCCGTTTATCAGGAGAATTCTATATGTCTGAAACATTTACAACAGACCAATAATGAAAGCACAACCCCCTCCAATGCAATCAGAGGAGAAACCACGAGGTTTTATGGTCATGTATCAACGAAAGACAGCTGTTTCAGCCTGTTGGGTATCATCAGTACCGGGCGATAACTTTTCTCGATTTCATATCATTTCAGAAACATGTGGATTCGTTTTCCGATATTTTTCTAAATTTTTGCTGAAGAAGTTGTCGGTTTTGAAGATGGTCAAACCACCAACGCCGACAAGCAAGCTTACTTGGGGGTCACATCAATAGGTGTTTCCACTTATATCTCGCT